AATGCTCAAACCTAAAGGGATAGCAAAGAGAGAAAAGTGACTACAGGGTTGAGCAATAGTTTCATTTTTTTTGTTTTAATAAAGTAATGCTGTGAGTGAGCTTAAATATTGAGGAAGAGAAGAAGGAGGAGTCAGTAAGGAGAAGAGAGTCAGTAAGGGAGAAGCTGTATATAAGTCAGTAAGGGAGAAGCTGAATACAAAGGAGCAGGTAAAGTTAAATAATGGGGCACGGCTCTCAGGAGAACAGGGCAAGAATACAGAGCAAGTAGGAACATGATCATCCACTGAAGGGAGGGAGAATGTTTTCAGTAGTAATCATAGATCACACAAAAGAGAAAGATAACCAAGGAAGTCTAGAACTCTCAGACAAATCTAAAGGTCCAGCTGAAGTTCTGTGTGTTGTGTGATTTTTTTTTTTCCCACTAGTGTGAAAGGTTTAAGTAGAGAATTAAACATGAAATTTCAGGAGTGAGGAGTTGCAAAAACTCAGAAATCCAGTTAAGAGAAGTGATATCTAAGGCTTCTAGTATAAGAGGTAACTATCCTTCACTTCTGTGAATATTCTAATTTTTGGTCTGGAATCCAATTAGAGTTCCAAAAGATCACACATAAGGATCACCATACTGTACCCCCTAATAGAAGTGTCTTCGTTACATTTCAAGTAGCTTTTCTGGTCTTTCCCTACTATCCAGAGAGGAGGCCATATGGTGTTGTTCTGGGTTACCATGGAAACCTAAAGGGAAATTTTCACAATGTCTGGAGTCCCTGATGTCCTGCAAATGAAGGAGGAGGAGTCCTCAAATTCTTTGCAGCAGGAATTGACTTAAGTGACACCAACCTTGACTTCAAAATGGAACAGTAAATTTACTAAAGGAAAAACAATAGTATCTACAGTATAAATCTGAAATAAATATCTGTGGGCCAATCATGCCATTGAAAACCTCTGTCATATCAGTATCATATTGCACAAGAATATTCTTTTTTTAGGGGAAACTATGGTGAGATACCATCTCATACCATCTCATACCATCTCATCTCATAATATGCGAGAATGGTACATATTAAAAAGACCCCCAACAACAAGTGTTGGAGAGGATGTAGAAAAAGCTACCCTATTATACCATTGGTGGTGATATAAATAATTATGGTATAACCATTATGAAAAGCAATCTAGATTTATCTTAAACTAAAAATGGAAATACTGTATGCCCTAGAAATCTCACTCCTGGGCATACATCCACAGAATATGAAACCATCAACAACAACAAGAAGAAATATGTTCTACAATGTTCATAGCAGCATTATATACAATAGGTAGGACATGGAAACAGCCTAATTGTCCATTGACAGATTAATATGAAGATGGGATATACACCATCATGGAGTCTTCCATCCCATAATAAAGATGAGATGCAGCCATTTTTCAGCAAAATTAAGGGAATTTGAGATAACTATGTGCAGCAAAGTAAGTCAGAATGATAAAAACAAATACTGGGCATTTACATAGCAGACAATTTGATAACATATCATAGTTTTAAATACTAGTAGATATTGATAAATATCCTGAGGGCTCTGAGGTTAAGAGGGAAGGGCGAGAAAGGGACAAGATAACACAGGGATGGTGGTGGGAGAAAAATAACTAAAATAGTATCTTGCCTCTTTGATTCTTTATAAGACAAATGTCACTTAAGTGCAAGGAACCAAAAGTATAGAATAAAGGTCCTTGGATTATCTGAGTGAGAGCTCCACTAACTAATCTGGCATCAACCCAAAAACCTCATTGAAGGCAGAATATGCAAAACACAGCAAAGTGCATTTTATATCCAAGAAAGTCACTGAAAAAAATCTGTACTTTCAATGCATCCTCACATAGAAGAATTGCACAAGCCTTTTTTTAGCACTTAATTGGCAGCATTCTAATAGCCTGCCCATTTGCCGGGTGAACACTTTCTGATGACATGAGGTCACAGAGTACTGATACCATTTCATTCATTGCTCCATTTCTAATATGTGCTGTGTCAACCCCATTAGGGAGCTTCTAAATGGAGTCATTTTCTTTTTAAATTACAGCCCAATTTCCTGTGTCCTGTCTGTTCACTCCTCCAAGATGGCAGATGGAAATAAAGAATATTAAAAAATGATGAAGGACCAAATATATGGAGAATGTAAAGTGGCATGGGGGGTGTTTATTTTTATCTATGTGTGACTCTGTAAAATGGAATCTCAGTCTATTTTTAAGTTCTTTTAGATATTTTCTCTTAAAAAAAGACTGATTACTGCTATTTCTCCTCCACTCTGGCACTCCTTGAAAAGCCTAGATTAGCACTCACCTTAAGACATTGTAACTTGCCCTAAATTGTACATGAAAATATATTCCTGGTTGGTAGTCTGGGCTCAGGAGTATAGACATGGAAATCAAAAATGTTCCCTGAGTGAATAGGTATGGTGGTTGGAACAGGTAGGCAAAGAGATAGGTGAGTCAAAGAGACAGTGAGGATCTAACTGAGCAGGCAGAGTGTAAAATCAGTGTTAAGATCCTGATAGGATAACTACAAAAGGATCTACATTGAAAACTTTCTTAGGCAAAAAATGCAAGTTGATGCAGGAGGAAGTACTCCCACACTGAGCAATGGAAGCCTGGACATTAGTCATGGGTTGAAGGGTCTGAGATTGTAAGACCTCCTGGGCAAGCAGATCTCCCAACTGTTGTTTCATATAACCTAAAACTCTTCCAGTAGAGTGTTTTCCCCATGTACTGAGATGAGGAAACTAAATGTCAAGGGTCATACATTTGAAAAGTGATCCAGGTCAGATATGATCCCATTCAAATGCACTCAAATCCTTGAATGTTTTCCAACTTCACCAAGGCTGACAGGGTGCAAACCTGAGGTCTTCCCAGGTAGTATTTTGTCCAAGCCAGTTCTGGAACTTGGACTGTTTTTCAAAACACAGTCTGTGAACCCCCTCAAGGAGAATCACTCTAGCAGCTTATGCAAAATACTAACCACTCCTCAGACTCTTCCTCAGATATTCTGACTCAAAATTTTAATTTTTCAAAAATTCTTAAAGGGAATTGCAATAATTTTCATTTTTCCTAAAGTATGTTATTCAGATCTATCAATGACAATGCTCCATTATTGTGGTGATTTCAATTGAATTATGGCTGGGCATAATACCTAGGCAGGACAAATTGGTGTCTTATCTAGGATTAATATATGTACACTTAAAGAAAATGAGATTCTTACACTGGCATTGCTAAATTTTTAATTTGTAAGCCAGGATGTTGGGGGTTCACACTGTCTATGCTGTAGAAGGAACTTCCTTATAGAAAGTTGCAAGTCAGAAGCATATCAGCTTTTTAGTCCCCTGGATATAGCTATGTTTTAAGTCTATCGTGGATCTCTTAGTCCTTTGAATCCATCCTTCTATTTTTTTTTCCCCCCTTAAACCAGTTTGAGCTGGCTATCTGCTACTTGCAACCAGACAGCCTGGCTAGAGTTTTTGTGAGACAGACCAGAAGTTTTCCAAGAATGGCATATCAATCACAAGTGTAACAGAAAGTCTGATTTCCCTCAGCCATCCTTGTCTTCATAGCTAAGGGTGTAAGATACGTAGTTTGTTTTTTTTTTTTTTTTTTTTTTTGTAGTTTCTTGATCTTTACACTTGATCCCAGGCTGCTGATTGCTCACTTTCATATCTTCAATTATGATTCAAAATTCAATCTCTCCATCTATTTCACTCTTCTATGATTTTGATCTTCCTTGGTTGTGATTCAAGTATCTGCTAGATGTTTCCACTTAGATGCCCCAAGGCATCTCAAATTCAATAGGTACACAAGTGCATTGATGATCATTCCCCCCAGATATGCTCATCTTTTGTTATCCTTATGTCTGTGAAATGCACTGCCATTCTCTCACTTCCCAGATCAGCTATGGAAAAAAGATGAAATATTTCTATTTGTGGCAACATGAGTAGAACTGGAGGGGATCGATCGTGCTTAGTAAAATAAGTCAGAAGGAGAAAGACAAGTTTTCCATGGTTTAAATAATCTGTGGAATGGAATAAATAAGCAAAACAAAGGAAGAGACAAAATTAAGTCAAAGCAAACCCTAGATATCTGACTATAGAATTGAGGCTTCCAGAGAGGGAGAGTGGGGAGCAGCGTGGGGGAGGGCCTCAGTGGACTGTGGTGGAGGATGATAGGTTCTTTAGTGGTGGGTGTGGTAAGATAACACATATCTGAAGAGGTGTGGACCTGAACCTCTAAATTATACAGTGTTATAAATCAGTATTACCTCAATACAAAATGATACAATTTTTAAAAAAGAGGCATCACTGTACTTTGAGTTATTAGACCCTCCTCTTAATATATATTATTAGAAGCATTTACTTAAAAATACATTTTAAGAGAAATAATAGCATGCTAGACTGAGTTAGAAGAGAGCATTGATGATTAAAAAAAAAAACTACAGATACCATATCATATAAGGAATGAAATGGGGATCGCTTCTTGGCCTTTTGGCTAAGATCAAGTGTAGGAATGAAATGGGAAATAATTTAGCTAAAGATGGAAACTCAAGAAAAATGGGAGTTCTGACTTCAATAATTTAAAAATCTGTCACCTGGAGGAAGAAACAGTCTAATTTTGTTGCTCCATAGGGTAGGACTAGAGTCAACAGACAGACATTATAGGAAATGGGAATTCAACTCAGTATCAGAAAGAATTTATGCTCAACACATGCCCCACAATGGTGTGTTCCTATGGGAAAGGGTAGGACTCAACTTTGGAAGCCTATAGGTTCTTAGGCTAAATAAGCAGGCATATTTCTTCCAAATTCTTATTGAAATGCCTGATTATGCAAGCATAGATGTTTCTATGGACTAAAATGAGTTATCTACGCCCTTACACCATGACAAAACCTTTAAACGACTTCCAAATACATTATGGCTGAGCTGTAGATCTACTGTAGAAAGACAGCAGGCTATTTGTCATCACTCACCTTCCAGTCACCCTCCACTGAGTAAGCTTATCCTTCAGCACTTCATGTGACTCTTCACACAGTATTAGCAATGCATTTTCAATTATATTCACTTGCTATTCAGCCTCACACTTCCGTGGCAGGAGGCTGATATTATTCTCCTCATCTTAAAAACAAGCAGAGGTACAAACACTTGAAGTAATTTTCACAAGGTCACTGAAAATTAGATGAAGGCTCCAGTTGCTGAATGCGGTGCTTAATTCTGAGTCACGCCACCCCCTCCCCCTTGCTGCCCTGTAGGAGGTCTGGAATCAGTCTTAGGAAAACATGCCGGGAGGCCTTAGTTCTTTTCTGTTCAGGCTTTAGAATGAGTAAGTCAATAATTCTCTTTTTCCCAAAAAAAAATTTTTTAAGAAATTAAAAAGATCTGTCCTTGGGCCTCCCCGGTGGCGCAGCAGTTGAGCACTGGGTTGCGAAGCTGCCCTCAGCCTCTGCAGCACCGGTTCGATCCCCGGCTGCTCCCCGGCCACCAGCGAGGGCCCCACATGGCCCAGCAGACCTCTCCTGCCATGCCCGCTGCTTCCCTCAGCAGTGCATTTCGTCGGTCTGCCTGTTCTGCTCCCCGCTCTGGCTCTGGTGAATTCTCTCACCCTCCCATGCTTCTGACTCTACCCAGTGCTTGTATAAATAAATAAATAAATCTTTAAAAAAAAAAAAATCTGTCCTTATTCTCTAAGATTTGAAAGACCTATCATCTCGTGAAGATGGGTTCTAGCGAATTCACGTACATGTGGCATTCTGGTGGAGAAGCTGATTTTGTTGATTCGTCCCATGTATGGCTTTGCCCATGATGCAACTGAACAGGGAACATTTAACAGAGGGCACTTATGTGAGGGGACACTCGATTTGCAGCAATCTGTGCACTGCCATCTGTCCATTCTTGAGTTTTTCACCCAAAGTGAAACAGCACTGTTCAAGGGTAAGTTTTTTCTTTAAATGGTGAAATTTAAATGAGTTCAATTCTCCGAAATAGCTAAAGGAAAAGAAACTACATCAGCACGTCCAACACAGGCAACACTGGCCAAAGGCTGTATTTATCATCACTAGCACTGCGGGGATTTAAAAATTTTTCCAAGAAAATTGTAGGAAGTTGGTTTTCAAAGAAAAAGGACATTTTAAAAACATCCATTCAGCACTTGAATATATTACCCAAAATTCTTATCTTTATTCTGAAGTAATTCCCTCCTTGGAGGAAGATAAGTAATAGACTTGTTCTTTATAGGTGTCTAACTGCTTCCTACGATGCTAATGACTCCAGAGAGTCACACATCCAGACAGGAGCAAGGAAAAAGTTAGTACAAGCTGTCTCCCTTTCTACAGAAGGTCAAATGAAAGCAACTGTGCCAATAAACTTTTGCCTCTCATCTCAAAAACTATTTTCAAATGTTTTGGGGTTGAGTGTATGTATTACACAAAGGTGAAAAGTTCTCCAGAATTATCCCAATTTTTTTAAAAAGTCAGAAAGATAGATATTTTGGGGTTTACACAAAATGTAATCCAAACAGTATCTTCTTTGTGACTTTTTCAAAGACTCAGTGACACCATTTCAAGAACTGTGACATTTAACTGCTCCAAGGGTGGAAAGCATCAGCCTAAGAAAATCAGCTTTTGACCACAAGCACACAGACGTTTAAGGGCCACCTATTAAGTTATTAATTTTGATTTGCTTTTGTTGCTTCTTTTGCTTGCTTCTAGTTTATTTGTTTGCTACAGAAGAATAAATATTATTTTTCCTTCTCCCACAGCTCCAACCTTGGTGATAAGCAAGGATTTAAGTACAGAAGATCTGTGGCTTTTTTCACTCCCAGCACAGAATTAAAAGATTTTGAAACTATCTGTCTTACGGAGTTGGGAGGTGGGGAATGGAGATCTAGGGTGTTGGGAGTGGGGTGCAGAGTGACGTGAGCTGAGAAAGTTTACTCTGGTCAGGGAAGCAGGCAGGCACCTGAGGGAGGAGCAAGGACACTCCCCACCAGGGCAAGTGGTATTGGATGGGGTGGTAGAGAGAGCTGCTTCAGAGTCCTGGAGGCAGGACCTTGGGAAGGGAACCTCAATATCTGGCAAAGACCTTCTGCCCCAGTTGAGAGATTCTGCCCTCTATGTGCTGCCACTGCCATCAGCTATGACCTGGAAATCAAAGACCAGAGGGTCCAGCACATAAGATCTGACCTGAATAACCCTGATGAAAATGTGGGGGAGGAGCTCTCATAGTGAGCAAGATTGCATTTTCTGCCATTACAGCAAGCTGGATGTTTAGAAAATATCGTTTTCTTGAAAGATGAAAGAAAATGTACATTTTTGCATTCTGATCTTAAAATAAAATATTTATCTGGTGGTGTGTGTATGTATGGTGGGGTGTGTATTTTTTCCTACCAAATTCCCAGAAAATTGCAAAGCAAAAGTCCAAATCCAGTAAGAATTCAATAATTTGAAACCAGGAACACATTTCTCCATAGAAACAATGCTATGCTCAGAAAGCAGACTATCAGATGGGTCTTCAAAGATTTAATTTAATCTAAAATTAAACTCATTTGGGCCTCTCTGGTGGTGCATGGGGTTAAGCACAGCACACTGAAGCTATCCACATCCTCTGCAGCATGAGTCCGATCCCCAGTCAGCCAGAAAGCTACCCACATGGCACAGCAGACCTCTCCTGGCTTGCCCACTGCTCCCCTCAGTAGTGTATTTCAGTCAATCTGCCTGTTCTGCTCCTGGTTCTGTTTCTGGTGAATCCTCTCACCCTCCACACCTCTGGCCTATGTCCCAGTTCTTGTATGCATAAATAAATAAATCTTTATAAAAAATAAAATTAAATTAAGCTCATTTAATCTAAAATGTTATATATTTACAATGGAAAATATTATTACAATGCAGTAATTAAATGAAAGGGGGAAAATTTAGAAAGAAATGTTTATTATTCTTTATAGTCAAGGCTGGTCTTTGAGGAAGAGCAGTCTGTTAGGAGTTGGGTTTTGTTGTCTAATTTGCTCCAAAAAGTAGTGAACAACTTTGAGGTTATGTAGTTTGCAGCACTGGTCACCAGATGGTAACACTGACCCAGCACTGCTGGTTGGTATTTAAGGAAGGTCATGGAAGCCTCCTCTGTGGGGAGTGTAGTGGAACTACACTCAGGGGCAAGTGATCCCTGAGCGACCTGCACCAGGAAGATTTCACATGGGGTCTTCTTGGCAATGTTGTGTGACTCCTTTTTACTCACACATGCTGGAAGGCCACATCCCTTTTGACATTCATTTGCACACAGTGCTGAGCTTTCCCTTCACTAAGCTTTTGGGATAAGTTTATGCAAAGGCAGAGGGAGCAGCCATCCTGCTGTATGCCTTGCATCTTGAGAAACATTGGGAAAGACCCCTGCCAACGAAAATCTACCCTCACCAACCCTCTAGGGTAAGAGAAACGCAGATGTGAATGTCTCTGGCTCAAGGACCCTAGCAAAATGTGTTTATTTATAGGAAATATCCCTTTTCTAAGACTTTGAAATAGTTTCTTTCATATACAGTGGGAATAAGAAAACCTGCCCAAGTTAACATGACCATGACGTCAGTATATTTGGGCCCTTTCTTCTCTTTCATTATCCTGTTTCTTTGTTAGCAGCACCCTTTCCTGCCCTATGCTATATTAATCTATGGGAAATGATACTGGACAGAAACTTAAAAGAAGTGGGGACCGAGCCCTCCTTTGACCCGAGGAAGTAATTTCTGGGTAGAAAGCACCTCAAGTGACAAGGCTGGGGTTGGAATGAGTGCCTAGTTTGAATAACACCAAGATGATAGAGTGTGGCTGAGTAGTAGGTGGGTGGGAGATGATGGCCATATGGATTTCAGGCACACTAACTGTTTTGGATCCCTTTGAAGTGTGGTAGGGAAGGAAATCAGCTTCTATCTCTCCAGGAGGAGAGCTGTTTGCAGGTAATTATTCCTCATTGTCCAGCAGCTCACCTCTTCCCAGTTTCCTAGACTGTGCATCTGCCTCACCCAACTAAATATGGTATCCCTGGACCCCATGCCATGAAGCCCTTCCAAGGGCCTGATTTCTTTCCAGAAATTGTCTGAAAAAAACTGATTAAGTCAATGTCACTCTTACCTACTGATTGGAGGGTCCTCTAGCAGCTAGGAAACAAACAAACAAAAAAATGGTGAGTCAAATTTTTATCCATTTTCTCAGAGTCTAAAATGTTTTAAACAAAAGGATTATGGAATTCAGGAGGGAGTAAGATAAAAAGAATAAATTCTAGGAAATGAAGTCCTGATATTTTGTCGCTGTTGGTCACAGATGCAAAAGTTGGAAGATGGCAACAGGCCTTAGTCCCCACTACTGACGTCAGAGAAGGCAGTTCAAACCCTCCTGGTACAACAACATACCTCATCCAGAAGGCCTCCAAGGAAATATCCCCCATTCTCCAATGTAACCACTTCATCAAACTATGTCAACAAATAGAAAACTTGCATTAGCACATTTACTCAGCACTCAATAAATATTTAGTAAGTGATTACACACTCAGGCAACAAATCAATAAATTAGGTAGGTTTGGGTTGCTGTTCTGGTTGTGCAGGAAATTACTCAAGGGGAAAGAATTGTTTATGTCTCATTTGAGTTGAAGTTCTAAGATAACAGATACCATGGTGCAAAGTAAGACATGAAATTACTACATGGTATCTGAGGGAGAAATTTCTGAAAATATAGTGTTTTGAACCCAAATTGGGCCTCAACTTTCAGCCTAGAGGTTGGAGAGGCAGAGTTGGTGATGGAAAGAAGATTTTGCTGTGTGATATTAGTGCGCTATAGAATCTAACGGGAAAGAAGAGTGTTTGCCTCTCTCCACCTGAAGCCTAAGGAACCTGAGGGATTTGATAAGTATCCCCTGTACAATAAATACCACCCAGGATTGGTGCCCAACTAGCATCATATGAATGCCAAGTGTAGAGGTAGAATGGCCAGCTACTCTGATGCTGGAGCAAAGTGAAGCTCCTATACCAGGAGGTTATCTATGTTCATAGAAATGGTCAGGGAAATGGTTCCAAGAGTGTGTCCTTGCATGGGAGTCATGAAAAAGAGCCTGTCCAAGGCAAGGAAAAGTGATCCCTAACTGTGGGATGGATCAGCATATACCAAAGACTAAAGAAGAAACCACAGTTGAGTAGCCCAAGGAGATACCAAGTCCCACAACACGAATTGCAGCCAAGACATCAACAGAGATGGAAGGAGGTTCCTGAAAATTCCACTGTTGATCCTCAGAGAGACACAGTTGCAAATGCTTCTAAATACCAGGGAAAGTCCATGTCACTGAGGGTTTTCCTTTCTTCTTTTTCCCTCTCCTCTACACAGCCGTGATCCTAGAGGAGTAAAAAATGGAGGTAGCAAGAAGAGATGAGGCAGAAGGCCAGGGAGAAGAGCACTTCAACCAATCATGCCTTCCCACTGCTCACAACCAGCCCATAGTAGATCTGATATGGGAAAGGAGAGGAACCGAACCTGACTAGAGTTCAAGCATCATATATCACTACAGTCATGCACTTCTTAATGACACAATATGTTTTAAGAAGAACATAAATAGGCAATTTTGGCATTGTGTGAACATGCTAGAGTGTGATTACACACACCTACGTGGTAGAGCCTGCTCACCTAAGCTTGTTGTATACCCTATTGGAACCACCATCACTTATGTAGTCTGTGGTTGACTGAAACGTCATTGAACTGTGTGCTCAGCATTCTTCAGTTTTCTGAAACACTCCACCCCTTCTAGAATTTGAGTGTTTCTATGGGGATATTCCATGAATTTTAAAGAACAAGTTTTATCAGTTAACACATATACCTAACAGAACACAAATTATATATCTCTATCATGATGGATTATTATAAAGTGAATGCATCTGTGTAACCAGATAAAAGGATATGAAAATCACTGGAATCCCAGAAGATTCCCAATATCCCCTATCACTATCCCCTCCCTTTTCCCCAAAGATAGGTACTATCCCCTTCTGCTTATCTACTATTATTAAATCTATATATTGGTTCTTAATTTCAGCTAGTAAAATTTTCAGTTTCACAAATTCCTTTTGATTTTTTAATATATGCCTCTGGTCCTCTACTGAAATTTTCTATCTCATTATGTAATTTCTTGAACATATCAATTATACCTATGTCAAATTCAGTGTCTGAGGACTCCAAAATTTAGATCTTCTATGTGTCAGTTTGTATTTTCTGTTTTTTCTCTTGGATTTTAGTCCTTTCATCTTAATTCCTGTGAAAGCCTCATAATTTCTTTTTTTTAATGTCAGATATTGGGTATGAAAATAGCTAAGCAAAATATAAGTTTCCCCATGGTGATTTCCTTTTGGCAAACAATCAAGATGACAGATTGCCTTAATTGAAAAACATAGCAAACTATTTCAAAGCTGAGCTTCAGTCACTATCAGTGCTTCTCTTATTCCTAGTGTGTAACCTTTTTTAAGATTCCAAACAAAAGTTAAGCTCCATTCCCTCTATAGATTTTGAATTCAATGTTTTTCGATAGTCTCCTAAGACCTGTAGAAGTTTTCAATTTCTCCGCCTGTGAGTGCTGCTCACAAATTGTCAAATACCTTAAGAGGAAACACTGGCTGAATGCTGAGCTCACATTATTTTCTTCTCTCTGGGATTTTGGTGACTTTGCCATTCTGGATTGATAGGTCTGTGACTTTCAAAAAGCTATCTTGAAATAATTTATTCACTGTTTCTATTTGTTCTTGGGAGGGGTATGAATCATGAAAAAGTTGACAAAAGTATTTTTTAAAGGCCTGTTATTTGTGATATTATTATTTTTCTGAAAATCCAGGTCTTGTAGTGTTTAAAAAAACAACTTTTCTGTAGTAAATTGCATTTGCATTGAACCCTGACCCATCACACCATGGTTCTGTCCTCGCTGGAGTTGGAAAAAAAAGACAAAAATCCTATTATTGATAGCAGAAACACCTACTCAGGAATTTCTGCTTATTTCTCAGGGTATTGTTCATTTCCAAATTGCATGCTCCCATGCATTGGCTGCAAAATTATCAAGTTTAAGTACTAAAGAAACAGCAGGCTTAAGGATCAATCTCCCAACAGGCACAAGGAAACTAGTCACTCCTGCTTCCATTAACTGTGTTTTACTAACACAGTTTCTGTTGTGAGCCTTCAGGCACTTCACTAGCTCTGTCAGAACTTTTAAACCAAGCATTATGAATGGCCTTGAATTTATCAAGTTCAAAGCAAAAAATAGTACTTCATTTGAAACTAACAACATACTATGAAAATGCCACACTGATATTTTTTTCTGTACTTCACTTTTTTTTTTCTTTTTTTGTGCTTTTTATCTCTGTCAACCAACTTTCTTTTAATTATTTGTTCCCACCAAAGTGACAGAATTGGGTCATTCCAAATTCTATGCAGCAGATAAAACAGCTCTTGTGCAAGTCAGAGAAGGAAAAGCCTTTGAATCCCAGGTGCTTTCAATAGAACAAAATTAACATTCAAGGCTGCACTTGGCTAGATAGTGTGTCTCTTTCAGTGAGCCAAAAAAATTAGTGTGTTCATTTATAGCTCTCTTTTAAAAGAGCCCTGCCCATTTTGACCAACAACCAAAAAAGGTTGTCTTTCCAACTTGACATATTTTTCTTTTAGACCAGTACTCTTTCCTAAATAAATATTGATTGCCAATTAAGGCACATGGGTAAGCTCAAATGTCAAATGGTAGGACAAAATAATTTAATATCACAGTAAGGCTAATCTATTTAATTCATTGTTATTGAATCTTTACAATATTTAAGTCACTTTTCTAGAAGGTTTTGAAGGATGCAAAGGTAAATAAGACAATTCTTCACGTCAAAGGACTTATAATAACATGAGGCCTAATGTAATTGAAATAACAAATGTAGAAACATGGGGTTACAAGCAGGAGTAGAAAGAGATTAAGTTCATTTGGTAACAGAAATGAAGGATGTAGCAAGTGAATTTTTTTTTTTTGAGCTTTTTAATTGAGCTGGATCTTATAAGGTGGGTAGTATTTCACCAAAGCCATCTTCAGAGTCTCTTTTCCATGAAGTAGTTCCCTGAGGTGCAGTTGATCTTTCCCACCTCCCTTCACACACTCACTCATTCATACACATACACTCACTCTCAATACACACACATACCCTCAGACACACACACTCACACTCCCTCTATGCCCTACTCTTTCCTGAGCATTTCATCAACCTTAGGACCTAGAGCTTGTTTACAGGTTTGTCTTATCCAACAACACTGTAAATTGCTTAAGGCATCTCCAGAGCCTGACAAGGGGCTAAAACTGTTCCAGCTAAGAATAAACACTTATATAAGTGTTTATTTAATTAATTAACTAATTAATTAGCGAGAGACTAAGAGGAAAGTAGATAAGATATTCTGGTTTCAAATATTCTGTCACAGGTTCTGATTACTCATTAGAATCAAACATTCTACTCAATAGTAGAGAAGTAGAATAGTTTCAAAACTAATATTCTACTATGGAAAACATCAAACATTTACAAAATTCACCAAATAATATAATGAACCTCCTTGTTATTATCACCCAACTTTTATATTAAGACATGGCTAACCTGGCTCAAGGGGTTAAGTCTCAGCACAATGAAGCTATCTGCAGCCACTGCAGCATGAGTTCAATCCCCTGCCAGGGAGCTGACCCACACGGGGCAGCAGACCTCTCCTGTCTTGCCCGCTGTTCCCCTCAGCATTGTATTTCAGTTGATCCACCTGTTCTTCTCTCCACGTCTCTGGTGAATCCTCTCACCACCCCGACCCCCTAACCTCAGGCCTATATCCCACCTCTTGTATGCATAAATAAATAAGTCTTTTTTTTTTTTAAAAAAAAGGACATAGCTAAGCTTTCATCTATACCTTCACATAATACCATTCTTTCATCCACATTATATCAGGATTTTGAAGCTTTGGGTAAATGATGATCAGTCAGGCTTTTACACTGCTGGCCTCTATGGCTATAACCTGTGGCTTTGACTACGCTAATGCAGGAAGCACTTGGGAGCATGGGCACAGGAGTCCCCTGATGTTGGACACCTAGAGTGTGGTGTGGTCACGTGTAAGTGTACACACCTGAGCATGGAGGCCGAGGCCATAAGGGCGGCGTTATAGAGAGAATGGCTATGAGAGGGCAAATGACTACAGAGAGGAAGGATCACCAGACAATGCCAGAGAGAGCCCAAGGAGAAAGAGTATAGATTTTCCCCAGTCAATCTTTGCCCTGGGTCTCCCTGCCTTGCCAGCCTGTGGGCTTGCCCCACAACAATTGGCACAGAAAGAGCATTAAAGCTTGAAAAAGCCACTGAGGGCTCCAAGACTCTCCTTTGCCCATCTGCGTGAATCAATATGTAACAGGGTGGTCCCCAGGAAAGGGGGAGGTTCCCTGCCCCACCCAAGGGAGGGTGGAGCTGAGCAGGAAGAGGGGAAGCTGCAGAAGAGACTGAGGAAGGAAGGAAGCAGGATGGAGCCAGAAGGAGACCTGGAGGAGGCGCATGGAGCCTAGAGACACGTAAAGAAACTGCGCTTGTCTTTTGGTCATGGACTAGGTGACACAGATGTGGGTGAGACCCGTGGGGAGGTGACAATGGCAGCTTTTATCTTGATGTTGATTTTGCTCTTTTCCTTCCGGGCTTGTCTGGTTGTTTGTGACCCTTTTCTGTGGGTCCCCACTGGAAGATGTTTTAGACTTGTGGCAGGCTTTGGGGCCTTGCTCTGGGCCGAGCCCATATGGATGGAGTTTTACCCACGAGGGGATGGGTAACTTTGGGTGCTTCATTTAGAAACTAGACTCTTTGCCTTACCTGTATTGTTTCCTAGTTTTTATTAAAGTTCCTTCCCATTAAAGTGTCATATGTTTTGTGTTGATGCGGCGGATGGCAGAACCCATTTAGAATAGGCAGGTTTGCGGGGCTTGGGGTGCCCCTCTCCCTGTCCTATAACAGATTTGGCGACCACGAAGATTTAGGACAGAGCCATCCGTGGTTAGTCAGCCCCATGGGGAAATTGAGCTTCCCTATGGCACTGGCTACCATAAGCGCAAATGTGATTTTTGGTTTCTCCAGTGTGTTTGTTTCATATGTCGATTTGCTGTTGAAAAACTGGTTTGGGCTTTGTGAAGATCTGTGTGTCTGTATGTAATTTGTTTGTAGTGACTTGCTAAGACATTTGATTTTGTGGAAATTGTTCTGTGCCAGTTTTACTCAAAAGATTAGGCAGTACATTGGACCATGTGGCCAGATCAAAGATGGCGTCTGAGGCCACTTGGAACTTTTTTTTTTCTTTCTTTTTGTAATCTCTGCTGTCT